TCCCTTCTTTCCTCTCCTTCCTTCCCTCTCTCTTTCTCTCTTTCTCAAACGAAGAATTATGCACACATCTCCTCTCAAGCATAAACCTTGGCATGTGCTAACCAGTTCCTAATTCAGGACGCTTCAAAATGCTACTTTGGGATCAAATCTTGATGATCATCTAAGCTGAGATCGCAAGAAAAACGGGAAATGAAAAGCCCAGAAAACCACCTGCCAGTTATAGGCATCGATATTGTAAGCAATACACCAGAGATCAACAATATTGCCCCACAATCGTTACTCAGGGCAGATTCTTCTGCAAGGTTAAGTTCAGGAGAACACCAGAGAAGTCCTGAAATGGCAGAGAAGACGAATTAAGGATTTTTACCTTTAAAAACGGTTTTCTAATTTCTGTCTCCCAGGCTTCAGCTACATACAAGACCAGAAAGAACTTGCAAAAATTCAGATTTTTCAGATAGGTTAAGCTCACACCCTGTAGTAAATCTTTAAGAGAGAGAAAAACAACCACAGAAGAATTCATCTAGTTTTACAAAACTTGAGGATTTCAGAGGTGGGTTATCAGCCTCTTGCAACCCGGCCTATAAATAATACATTCCTATCACCATGACCTCAAAATGTCAATACTGCCACCCCACCGCATTTGCATAACTTGCACTGTCTAAACTTGAAGTGTGTCAGCCTAGGAGCTCCAGTCTCTTGGTCTTATCTCTTACAATCTAGCAAGCCATTTCACTTCTATAAAAGAGGCATTGATGCTTCTGTGCGCTTTCGGAATTTATGGGAGAGAAATCTCCCTAGTCCTCCAAATAGCCAGCCTTTCCCATTGCCCGCTTTCTGCAATGTGGGACTGCAGAACCCCTCAACCTCAAACAAATATCTTTCTATCTCTTAAAAATAGCTTCCTCTCCTCTCTTCTCTTCTCCCCTCTCCTCTTTGCCTTCTCCCCTCTCCTCTCCTCTCCTCTCCCTTCTCCTCTTCTCTCTTCTTTTGCCTTCTCCCCTCCCCTCTCCCCTCCCTTCTCCTCTCCTCTCCTCTCCTCTCCTGCCTCCTCTTCCCTTCTCCTCTCCTCTCTTCTTTTGCCTTCTCCCCTCCCCTCTCCCCTCCCTTCTCCTCTCCTCTCCTCTCNTCCTCTTCCCTTCTCCTCTCCTCTCTTCTTTTGCCTTCTCCCCTCTCCTCTCCTTTCCTGCCTCCTCTTCCCTTCTCCTCTCCTCTCCTCTCCTGCCTCCTCTTCCCTTCTCCTCTCCTCTCTTCTTTTGCCTTCTCTCCTCTCCACTCCTCTCCTCTCCTCCCCTCCCCTGCCTCCTCTCCTGCCTCTCCTCCCCTCCCCTCTTCCATCTTCAATTTCTAGTCATCACTAGAAACAGTGTTTCTCAACCTTGACAACTTTTAAGATGTGTGTACCTCAACTCCCAGAATTCTACAGCCAAACTGGCTGGCTGAGGAATTTTGGGAGTTGAAGTCCACCCATTTTGAAACGGTCAAGAGAGATGCCGGCTAGGGAATTCTGGGAGTTGAAGTCCACCCATCATAATGTTGCCAAGACAGAGAAACTATTTCAGAGTTGGGGTGCTGGTAATATTTTAGATCAGCCTTTTCCAACTGGATTGCTCACCAGAATTGCAATTCTTCCAGAATTCCTTCTTTTAAGATAAGGAAATGCGGCTATCATTTATCTAGATGATAAATGCACGGTTTTAGCAGTACAGTTCAGGCCGCTGAACCCGTGCCCTAGCCTTTTGAGGTCCATCATAATTCATGAACCGAATCCATATTATCAATAGGTTCGTCAGGGTAAAACACCCGTGTGCTTTGCTAGATCCATGCATTTCTTCCTTTCCAATGATCCCGTTCAAAAGTTGGAGCAAGCTGGGCACATTCAATGAAATTGTACCGCTTCTTTGTCGTCCTTGAATAAAACCTGCATGGAGGGTTTCTATTAATTAATTTTACTGTATTGCCAACTACCAGGGATGATCAGCGCTACTTCATGAAACCTGAAACCAGACGTAGAACTAAAGCAACGGGCAACCACCATAAAAAAAAACACACAATGCAGAGCATTTTAGACTGATTTTCAAGGAACCAACATTAGGTTTGGGCAATTAGCGCTTTGAAATCGAGAGGCGAAAAGCTGCCCCTAAAACAAAACCTTCGTTTTTGCCTTTTCAAGGAGGAAAAAGGTAGACACCGGTTCAGTTTTGGGGTGCTGATAATATTTGAGATCAGCCTTTTCCAACAGGAGGCTCAGCAGAATTGCAATTCTTCCAGAATTCTTTCTCAAGACACAAGGAAATGCAACAATCAGAATTCTTTATTAACATAAACAATCAAAAACCCTCCAGAAGAAAGCCAGATCACTCCCTTCCCCTCATCAATCCTGGCATATCTAAAGATCCAGCAAGTCCCACTTCCCTTCACACTGATACAGTGGTGGGATTCAAATAGGTGAACAACCGGTTCTCTGTGTGGATGCCGCTTCCGGAAGTCCGTTCTGGGCCTGGGCAACAAAAAATTAGCTACTGGTCCTGCTGAAGAGGTGCGAACCTGCTGAATCCCACCACTGCACTGATAACACTACCTAGCCTGAAAATGAAACTTCTCCAAGAAAACAGTCAAGCTCAGAGAGAGACCAGGAATTCAACAAAACGGGGTTTGCCTTGGAAATCCTGGGAATCCAGTCTCCCAGATCTTCTGGAAGAGTTCTGGCTGAGAACGGTTCTTCTAGCAAACTTGTTTCCTTGATAAGGAAACGTGGCTGGCAAAATGAGAAGGTTTCCTCAACTTCCCATGATGCTTCAGCTCACTAACCAATCAAGTTAGACCAAGACCAAGCAGGGTCCACAAGCACAAGCATTTGAAGCAAGACACCTTCAAACGATGTCTACTCTCCACTCAATGAGTTGTTGTGACAATCACAGCTGTGGCAAGAAAAGGCCGTCAAATGAGGCCAAATTCACTTAGCAACGGTCTCACTTAGTGACTGAAACATTGGGCTCCACTGTGGTCATAAATCAAGGACTACACCAATGCAGTCGGTGGGGAAGAGGTTTTTTCTCCTTGGTAGTTCCAAGGACCAAAAACGTCTCCTCTCCAGCTGCCAACACCCAGATAAGCAGGGATTAACGCCAGACAAACAAACAGAAAACAATATCCTAATTAAAAAAAAAAAAAAAACTACCAGGGAGAAAATTACACTTACGCCAACGTTGGCAGGGCAAGCTACTGTTTATGAGCAGTACAAACCCCACACTCACAGGCCCTGATAATGTAACCTAGTTGGGCAATGCAGCGTCTGCAAGCAAACATCCAGGCTCAGAGAGCACCAAGGACCCCCACAGTTCAACACACACACCACCCCAGCTGCCCAGATGCTCTCCTGCTAGAGACTTTAAGAAAAGTCAGCAGCCAAACTTTCTTGGCTGGGGGAAAAGAGAGAGACACCCCCCCTTCCCCTCTCCAGCTTTTGCGAGGACAGATTAATACTCCTCTTTAAAACATCAAATCGCCAGAGAGATTAAAATGTGTGGCGAAGAAAATCGATAGCCAACAAACACCGAATAATAGGGTCCTTGGGGTGTCGGGGCTCAGATCGGAGCGAATTTAATTTCCAACCACCCCCCCCATCACCCCCCACCCCCGTTTCCCCCCAAAGCCCTCCCTCCCTGCCCTTGCTTTTCCACGCTTCCCTCCTGCTGGCAGAAATGCAATGGGGATGGTGGGGGGGGGGTCTAACTGGCTTTCTTTGCACCGCAAAACCCCTCCCCAGAAAAAAAGGAAACCCCCAACCTCCTCAAAGGGGCGCCCCTATGCAATTGGGGGGAGGGGGGCAACGGAAGGGGGCTCAAGGGAAAACTGCTCTTTGGATACCAGCGCGGCCGGGCAAACTTACCTGGGCATCCTTTTCCGTCTGGAAATCGGTGAGCCTTTACTTCCGAGTAAACGCGGCCGGCTGCGAGGCAGAGGAGGAACGGTTCCCCCCCCCCCTCAATCCCGGGGCCAAGGAGGCGTGCCGTTTTCCGCCTGCAGAGGGCGCTCCGGATCCAGGTTTTAATCTCCAAAGCCAGAAGTTTGAAGTCCGAGACTGTAGCGTAGCGGATTCCAAATTGGCCCTTTCGCTTTCTGGAGGTGCTTTCGCTTTCCTCCCCCACCCTCATTTTTTTTCTCCCCCCCAAAAAAAATAAATAAATAAATAAAATTTAGCTTGGCTAAATGCACGTAAAATAATCGCAGGAGAGCACGGTCCCCCTTGCGCCAGCCCCACCCCAAAAGCGGGCCTGCGGGTCGCTGCGCTCTTCGCGCAGACCCCTTCCGAGGAGTGGCGCGGGGGAGGGGAGGGGGGGGAAACCAAGAGGAAGAGCCAGACTTTCTCTCTTTTTTCCCCGCTCCGAACCCCCCCCTCGATCCCCTCCTACCTCCCCGAGAGACCTTGCGCCTTGCTTAGCTGTAGAGACCCCCAGCCGGGTTTGGGGCTCCCGATCCAACGAGCCCCTCGCTCCGCACCGGGGGTGGGTGGGGAAACATGGCCTGCACAGACACCCCTCCCCTCCTCAAAAGGCTTGGCTTACTAGAACCGAGTGGCATCTGGGCCCACGCGGGAAACTTAATTTCACCCAGCCCCACGTTTGCAAAAAAGAGAAAGTTCAGTTCAGGATCAGCTTAGCGATCCTCAAGGCGGTCGGGTCGTTTAAAGGCAGGGGATCCCCAATTTTGAAAGGCCTGCCCCAAATTATAAGAAAGCACCCCCCCTCTCCGTAGAGAGTTCTTCTCTCTTTTTTTCTCTTTCTCTCTCTCTCCCCCCCTCTCTTTCTCTCTCCCTCTCTTCCCCTCTCTCCTTCCCTCCCTCTCTCTCTCTCTCTCTAGCTTCTTTCTTTTCCACAAAGCCGTGACGGATATTTCTCTTAGAAAAAGCACGACAGGTCTTCTCCAAGTGAAAGGAGTTTTTCTCCCCCCATCAAAATAAAAGGCAAATTCCAGTTCCAGCTGGTATCAGAAAAAGCGTAGTCAAAGTGGCAACAGTTTATTAGCCAAAAATATATACTTTCTTGTACAGTTTGGTTTCGCAGTTATGTACATTTGCGCGTGTATGCGCGTTAACGCGCGCGTTTTTACTCTATATACAAAAACAAAACCCCCCAAAAAAACAAAAACCCAGGAAGGTCTTTTATTTCTCACCAGGTTTCACCAAAAAAATACTTCACGGATTCAGCTAATCCAGATGATTGAACAGAAGTGGATTCCTGCCCCTCTCTCTCTCACACACACACACGCACACACAAACACACTCGTTTGTTTGTTTCATTTAATACACAGACATGCGTACAAGCTGTAACTATACAGATAATTTTATTTTACAACCATTAGAACAATAATTAAAAAAAAATTAACTATGATGATGACAACGCCGATAAAACCATAGCAGCATCGAGTTGGTTCTGTGGCCTAGAAGAAGAAAAAGGGGATACAGAAAAATTCAGATTTGGGTACGTGTTGGTTAAACAGCAATATTTGCTCGAACCAATATGCGAAATGCTAATCAAGGTTTCCTGGGAGTTTTCTTTAATTTAAATTTATTGTGGAATTAGCATTTGAAGGGGAAGAGTGAGGTCTCCCTTGGCCCTTCAGCCATAAAAAAAAAAAAAAAAAAAACCAGGGTCCAGTCTTTAAGGTGTTGGAATGCTTTTAATTAATTCAGCAGTACCACATTAATAGGTCTTCTGTACTTTGACTTGGGCCCCAATGTATTCTGGACCAAATCCTTCGTTTTAAAATTATTTTAATTACCAAAAAAATGCAGAATGCCACACAATTTGTAGCTGCCCTTTGGCTTCCCACTTTTTCATTATTCTCTGTGTATACCTGCATTTCTCCTTTCTGTTTTCGAGAGATTCATGAAAAATACCTCCCAACTCGGTTTTCTGATTTTGGTGAGCTAAAACATGCTCAATTCTCTTGTATTGTGCATATATTGTATATGCACAGACACAAGTAAAAAATAAAATAAAAAATAAGCACATTTCTGGGAGCTTAGAAAAAGGGCAGGAGCCAAAATGTTTTGTTTTTAGACTTAGATTTTGGTTTTCTTACTCCTGCTAATTTATATTTATGGTTTGAGCGGTTAATTATAATCTAGTAGTCTAATGGCTTCTTTCTCTGCACACATACTTTATAACCCAGTGCCAAACCTTTATCTATTAAACCACTTTTTAAATACAGCCCATTTTGAACTGCGTTAGGAACGGGAGGCAATGGAGAGCTTCGTCTTGCAGTGTGTTCTAACAACAACAAAAATAAAACCCATGCCATACACACATATTCACACACAGAGAGACAACTGTTGGTCTGAAACACCTCTATATCTCCCGAGTCGAGGTTTGTTTTTTTTAATAACTCGGGAGACGGGAGACGTCAAAATTATTTGACAGTAATTATACTTAAAAACCACAAAATACAAACTGAAATACTAAACTCGGCGAGGGGGGCAAAGTGCCCCCCTTTTCAACCATTCCCTAATCCCTAATATAATCTCGATTCCACTTTCATAAGTTTGCTTGGAAGTAACTTCAGGGACATTTTCTTGGGTGGAACGGCCCATTCAATTCCAAATAAAACCGATTTCTAAGCCAGTGCTTCCTCCCCACCCCCACCCCCCTGCACCCCCATTAACTTTCCCTTTTCATATATCAGCTAATCTAGGAATAGATGGACTCTTACCGCCTCTGAACTGGCTGGAAAGCGGTCTTTATTAACTTTTTCTCTACATCCAAGGCACTAGATCGATCTAAAACAAACGAAAGCAAACAAAGAAGAGAGAAATCCTTTTTTTTGTTGTTGTTGTTGTTGTCTGGTCGCAAAACTGGTTCTGAAACTCTGAAATAACCGGTCCCTGAAATTCCTCTCCTTCTTCAGAGCTTAATTCAGCGCCTTGGCCAAAACCAACCGAGCCAACAGCCACCATCACAAATAACCTCTGCTCCGCAATTCCCAAGCCCTGTTCTTCCATTCCACTTTCTTCCCCCCCTCTGATTCCTACCCCCTTCTTCCCACTCCAGGCCCACTCAGTTGCCGAGCCTTACTTCCGAGTAAGCAGTGAGGAAGGGGGCGAAGACTTGGGGAGCCCCTAGACCTCCAAAACCACCGTGTGACGTGGACGAAAACCAATACAGGCACCTCCAGGTGCAGAACAGAGAAGACATAAGCAAGAAGGTTGCTGAATCCACCGGGGCGGGGGGGGGGAACGGTTGGGCTCTGCAAACAGTCAGCAGCAAGGGAAAAAAAAATCTGCTTTTTGACTACAGCTGCCCTCCTCTGCTTCCCACCCCCGTTTGGGAACTGGCTGGGGGGCTTTCGTCTCCCCCCCCGGTTCGATTTAATTGCTGCTGCAAATCCAAAAGGTTCTCCCACCCGCGGGGGAAACTTCTGCAACAGACTAGAAGCTGGCATTAAGGCAACGTCAGGAAGGGTTTCGTTTTCTCCTAAGTATTTTAGGCGACTGAGCTAATCTGCTTTTAGGAGAGTTTCACCCGCCGAGATTCTTCTCGGGGTTCCTCCCTCCCCCCCCATCCCAGAAGCAAAATCAGAAATACGTTTGTTCATATTGTCTCTCTCAAGCTCTCTCTCACACGTTCAGTAGTTGTCGCGGGGTTTCAAATTCCCGAGGATTTTCCTTCCCACTTCTTCAAACCGCCTTCTGCAATTTTCGCACTTCCCTGTTTTGTTTTGTTTTTTTAATCTATTAACACATTTATTGGGGGTACCTTTGACTCTTTCACACCTCCCGGTCCTCCACTTCTGGGTACTGAATTAGGTTCACCAATTCGCCCCTTAACTGAATTCCTGGCTGGCTGACTGGCTGGCTTCGCACGACCCACTTGCCCGCCCTGACCCCAACTGAGGTTCCTGGCTCTTCTTCGCAAATTCTCCAGTCTTGTCCGACCGGCAGAAACCCCACCACCACCACCAGCAGCCAGCCCAGACCTGGATCCGCACATCAAGCTAAGATAGGAGAAGAATAACTGTTTCGGGGGCTCAGCAGATCGTGGGAACGCAGCCGCCGAGGAGCCCGAGTTCAAACGCGCTGGCCCCCTCCCAAAAGCCCTCCGCGGGCCATTAAACCGGGCATTAAGCCCAACGTCCCACCTTCCAGCCGCCCACCCCCCCCAAACTTCCTCCGACCCCCACATCTATTTCGATCCGGCCGAGAGGAAAAGGACCAACGGTTGACTTGCCCGCAGAGACCCAAGGGGGTCTCCAGCACCCCCCCCGCGCTCTCCCCCAACAAAGCATCTTTTCAGCTTGTTCCCCCCTCCCATCCGGCGGCTTGTCCACCCCCAGCCCCCCACCACCAACCCCATCCAGTGGTTACCTGTTCCGGCGGCTTCCGCGCTCGGCGCCTGGTCCGCCTGTCTGGAAAAAGCCGCCAGAGCCGCCGCTGCCGCCGCCGCGGGCGCCGTGTTGGCGTTGCCCCCCGCCAGTCCCAAGAGATGGGGAGTGTTCAGCAAGGTCAGCGGGTGGGAAGCGTGCGGGGGGGCGGCCGAGAAGGGCCGGCCCGACCAGCCGGCGAACTTGCCCAGCGGGCAAGCGGAGGGGAGCAGTCTGTGCGCGGGGGCGCCCGGGGCGGGTTGCGGGGTCGGGCCCAGAGGAAGGCACGGGGGGCCAGCCGGGGGGGACCCCCCTCCTCCTCCTCCGCCAGGGGGCGACTTGCGCGAGGGGTTATCCGGGCTGGTGGCCGTCTCTGCCAAGGACCAGATCTTGGGCTTGGCCGGCTGGACGGGCTGCCGAGCCGGGCTGGGGCTGCGGAGAGGCGGCGGGGAGCCCGGGGGTCCCGTCGAGGCGCGCCGCCGCGCTTCCACCGCCTTCAGGAAGCGCTGCTGAGCGCCGGCCAGCTCCTCGAAGCCGTCGGAACTCTCCGCCTCGTCCTCCTCCTCCTCCTCCTCCTCGTCTTCCGACGTGTCGCTGCCCCCGCGGGGCTCCAGGGGGAGAGGCAGGCGCAGCGCCCCCGCCGTCGCCGTCGCCTGGCCGCCCTCCTGGTCGGCCCGCTCGTCCTCCCCGACGTGCAGGAGCAGCTGCCCGGCTTGGGCCCCGGCTCCGTCCCCGCCGGCGGCGGCGACGGCACCACCGCCCTCGAAAGGTTCGGCGTCGCTGTTCTCCAGGTCGATCTCCTCGTCGTCGGGGTCGCGCTTGTCCGTCTCGCCGTCCTCGCTGCCGTCGGCCGTGCCTTCCTCGTCCTCGCTGCGGCTGCGGGGCGCCCAGGTCATCTTGTTCTCCTTCTTGAGGCGGCGGCGGGCGTTGGCGAACCAGGTGGAGACCTGGGTGAGGGTCATCTTGGTGATGATGGCCAGCATGATCTTCTCGCCCTTGGTCGGGTAGGGGTTCTTGCGGTGCTCGCTCAGCCAGGCCTTCAGCGTGCTGGTGCTCTCGCGGGTGGCGTTCTTGGGCCGGGAGGGGTCGCCGAACTGGTACTGGCCGTAGGGGTAGAAAGCCGGGTGAGGGGGCGGGAAGGCCGGCCCTTGGACGCCGGGACTGTCCTTCAGCTCATACTGGGTGCCCTTGGAGTGACGGCGGGGGAGAGAAGGGAGAGAGCGGGGAGAGAGGGGTTAGAAGCAGGAATGGGGACCCCCCCCTCCGCCGCTTGCTTGAAAAGAAAAGAAAAAAACCCCCACCCCAAACACTGAGCGTCTATGGAGAATCTCAGCCATCCAGGTCATATGAGAGTTGCTTTTTCAACCAGGCAACTGAAGTTTCTTCCATTCCCCCCGCTGGACTTTCTTGCTTTTCTTTGAAGGCGTTTCGCTTCTCATCCGAGAGGCTTCTTCAGCTCTGACTGGATGGTGGAGCCGAAGAAGCTGCTCGGAGGAGAAGCGAAAGGGCTTCAAAGAAAAAAAAAGAAAGAAAGCCCGGTGGGGAAAGGGAAGGGCTGAACATCCATTTGCGCCACTCCGGTGAGCCTGAGGACACACATAAACCTCCAAGTGGCCTCAACGACTCTCTCAAAGGATGCAAATGACCAGCCGTCTGCGAGGAGTATAAATCCTTCCGTTCCTCACCATCGGTCAGAGCTGAAGAAGCTGCTCGGATGACAAGTGAAATGTCTTCAAAGACAAAACAAAAAAAGAAACAAAAAAAAAAAACCCCAAGAAAGTCCAGTTGCCTCGTGAGAAGAAAAAAAAAAAGCACCATTGGGACACCCCAAACACTGGTTGATGGACCCAACAAACTCACTTATCTGAAAGTAACTGCTGTGGAATTTGGGACTGCCTTCCCATAACCCCCAGGTTTGACTGGCTTCTTGGATTCAGCCATTTCCAAACCCCCCCCCCCCCAAGTTTGTTTAATGCATCCAGCAGTAAACTAAAGCAGGGGAGGGGGCTGGCTTCGCAAGGCATATAATCCCCTCCCTGCAAAAGAAAACAACAACAACCCCCGAAGCCTAAAATGATGGCCAATAACTTTAGCAAATAACACAAATAGAGTCAGCAGAATCCTGTCCCGGACGGAGGCCAAGTGGGTTAATGTGAAAGACAGTTTTTACCAGGGAATCCTCAAGGATAAAGAGATTCTGCCTTAGGTATAGGTCTCCAGGTGGGGTAGGTTTGGCTGGAGGGGGGGAGAGGGAATTTCAACAAAAGCCTCCCAATCTTAAACCCTCAGACCTCTCCAAAGGGTTTTTTCCCTGAAACTCGTGAGGTCTTTTTCTCATTTTACACTCTCTTCCTGATAGAAACAAACTATTTTCTAAAAAAAGTAGGCTTAGTTTTTCTCTGCAGAAAAAGTAAGGCGGGGGGGGGGGCTGGGCTGGAAAAAATGAGGGTGAAAACCCTCCGTGCACCAGGATCTGAATTTAAAAAGGAGAAAGCAGCCCTGGGAAGGTTAGAAATTATTATTATTATTATTATTATTATTATTATTATTTTTAAAAAGGCTGTTTTCAATTTCTGCAGGAATAAAAGGGGGATCATAATGTCTGAATCTGGAAGAAGTCAGGGTATGCTGCTTTCTTTCGACAACCCCCCCTCCCCTCTTTTGCATATTGGAGGGGCCCGGGGATAAATTCTATTAAAGCTGCCCAACAATGCGAGGAGCTGTCAATCAAAAGCACCAGATCTGCACCTTCTGTCTGCTTCCTGTAGATGTGTAACTAAGGGCGATGGCGTATAGGTGATCAGATTTTACTTTCTGCAAAGCCGTCCTAGGCCTCTAAATCTCTTTTTTTTTCCTCTCCCCTTCTTTCTTTGGAGCCTTTGAAAAGCATTTTGAGCAAATAAAACAAGCCGTTCTCCAACTTTTCTCCCCCACCTTCTGTTAGGGAGCATCAAACTCACCCGATCTTCTCCTCTTGAACATTATTTCTCTCGCGTTCCTAAACGGGCTCTTCCTATGATTTACTCCTTTCTTTCTTTTTTAAATACGCCATTTATTCGTTGATATTTGAAGCTAATAAATCCGGGATGTTAAAAAGTTTTGAGCAAACTATGAAACGGCCAAAAACCTTTGCCTATTTAATAAGGGATTGAAAAAAACCGGACACCCGACCCTCCGGAGCTTTTTTCCTTGCAAGCTGCTTGAGCAGGAAAGCAGCCGAACCTCTCCGGTGGGTCTTTCCCTTCTTCCTAGGACCCCCCCCCCCAATCCGTTCCCCCCTCCCCCGGCTCAGAAAAGCCGAAGAAGCGCAGAAAGAAGGACTTTAAAAAAAAAAAAAGCCCCAGCAACAACTATTGGCTTGAAGATCTCCCGGCTGCTCTTTTTAAAAAGCCGAGAAGAGGGAAAGAAAAAAAAGAAAAAAAAGAGAGACTGGGACTTTTCTTTTTTCTTTTTTGCATTAAAAAAAGAGGGAGAGGGAAGGGGGAAAAAAAGGGGGGGGGAATTCTCCCCAGCAGCTGGCTGGTCTGGCGCTGCCGGTGGTGGAGCAAAGGGGAATCGGGTCCGCGCGTAAAGCTCTCCAGCCTCTCCCGGCTTCAGTCTGGGGGTCCCTTTCCTTTGCAAGTTGCAAAGGAAAGGAGGGGGAGGGGGACAAAAAGTCGGGGTTCGGGAGGGAAGAGGCGGCGCGTTAAGTTTTCCTTACCAGCTGCGGGAAGATGGGAAGCTCGGCCGCGTAAGGCAGGAAGGCCCCGTAGCCCTGAGCAGCCGCGGCTGCCGCGTAAGGCGCGCCGTACATGGAGGATAAGACGCCGCAGAGCGAGCCGGCCGGGCTGAGCTCGGCCCCGGTGCGGGAGCCGCCGCCGCCGCCTCCTCCTCCTCCTCCGCCGCNTCCTCCTCCTCCTCCTCCTCCTCTTCTTCTTTCTCCTTCTCTCGCTTTTTCCGCCGGCGACCGCCGCGCCAAAGGCTCCCGCTTGCCGCCTTCCCCTTTGCCTATTGATCTGGGACGGACTGCGGGTCAGGTCCGCGCAGGATTGCGGGGGACTTCGTGGAACTCCCCGCCTTTGATTGACAAGCCGGAGCCGCGGCCTTAGGCCCCGCCTCTTTCTTTTCAGCCCGGCTGGCTGGCTGGCTGGCTCGGCTTCCTCGCTGGCTCTTCCTCTCCCGTCCCCCCCCCCCCGCCGCCTTTCCTTTCGTGACGTCGCCGCCTTTGATTTGCGTGCTTTTCAAAAATCGGGCTCCAGCCGCGCCAATCGGATCGCCCGTTTGCCGAGCTTCAGCCCCGCCCCGGCATCGGGACTTCGCATAATAACAATAACCTTACCCTATTTGTTGTTGTTGTTGTTGTTATTATTATTATTATTATTATTATTATTATTATTATTATTATTATTATTGTTGTTGTTGTTGTTGTTGTTGTTGTTGTTGTTGTTATTGTCCAACAGTTATTATATTATATTATTATATTATATTATATTATATTATATTATTATATTATATTATATTATATTATATTATATTATATTATATTATATTATATTATATTATATTATATTATATTATTATATTATATTATATTATATTATATTATATTATATTATATTATATTATATTATATTTATTATATTATATTATATATTATAATATTATATTATATTATATTATATTATATTATATTATATTATATTATATTATATTATATTATATTATATTATATTATTTATTATATTTATTATATTATATTTATTATATTATATTTATTATATTTTATATATAACAATAACAACAAAACAACAGTAATAATAATAATAATAATAATAATAATAATAATAATAATAATAATAATAATAATAATAATAATAATAATATAGGTAGACAAAATGCCAAATCCAGTCTGAACATCTGGCTGACTGTGCGATAATAATAATAATAATAATAATAATAATAATAATAATAATAATAATAATAATAATAATAATAATAATAATAATAATAATAATAATAATTAATAATAATAACCTCTACTAATATTAGCCCCTTACTGGGAACCGAACTCCGTGTGAAAGGGGAAAGAATAGAATAGAATAGAATAGAATAGAATAGAATAGAATAGAATAGAATAGAATAGAGAATAAGGAATAGACTAGACTAGACTAGACTAGACTAGACTAGACTAGACTAGACTAGAATAGAATAGAATAGACTAGAATAGAATAGAAGTTGGAAGGGACCTCGGAGGTCTTCTACTCCAGCCCCCCCTCCCCCCTCAAGCAGGAGACCCTATATACCATCTCAGACAAGTGACTGCCTAGCTGCCCCTTCTTAAAAATCTCCAGTGATGGAGCGCCCAGAGAACGTGGGGGGCGGGGGCGGGGGAAATTGAGGAGGATGATTTATTGCTAAAGTAAACCTGGGTAATTTGTTTTGTTTTGTTTATTTGCAATAAATATCTAATTCATTCATTGACGTTCCTCTCCCACGCCTCCACCTCCTGATTTAGCTACTCCAGCAGATGTTGTAGTAACTCTCCTGCGATTTGGGTCGCCTCTCCGCTCCTCTGTCTTTCTGTCCCTGGCGTGCCAAAACGTTGGGGGCCGTTTTTCGAACGTGGAAAGAATTGATACCATAAGTGATGGGAAAACCTTAAAGGGGAAAAAAACACCAAATAAATCAATGAATGAATGAATAAATAAATAAAGGACGGGAAGCGAAATTCAGCGTCCCTGCCAGTTAACGGAGTTTCCAATTTTAAGGTCAAAAGTGAGGAAAGGCCACAAATTAATTAAAGGGAGGGGGGGAGGAAAAAAAGAGAGAGAAAGAGAGATATCAAAAGAGCTCCGTGGATCCCTGACAAATGCCTAGTACGAAAAATAAAACACCGGTGGGACGGCCATACCCACGCGCGCAGAATGGCTATGGGACCTCTGATAAAGCTTTGGGGCTTGGTGCTCTGTCTTTAATGAAGATCTTTATAAACTTTGTCTGTGTGTGTGTGTGTGTGTGTGTGTGTGTGTGTGTGTGTGTGTGTGAAAGGTGGCACAACAGATCCTGCCAGGATTTCAGCAGGACGAGCCTGAAAAATGGATCAATTTACCGGCAGAGGGGACAGCTCTTCACTCCGTCTCGCAAGGAGGCGAAACATTTAAGAGTCCTTCCAAGCCAGGGCGTTTAATGCGAACCGGAGTCACTCCGAAGCGAGTCCCACGCGTGTTCAGTGGGACTTTATAGTCCCGCTTACCGGAATCTACGATCGCAGCTTTTAAAAAACATGAGCACAGTCAGCCCCGAAACTTGCAAAAAAATGTCCCTCAATTGCCCTGTGGTTCTTTTCGCTTCCCCTCGCGAAGCGGCGTCCCTCGAGATTCCGGGCCTTATTGTGGAGCTGCGTTGCTGTGTTTTTGTGAAAAGAAGCCAGCCTCTTGAATATTCACCCCCCCACCCCCCCAGACACAGGGCTTTGGATTTCAGCTAGAATATAATTACAGCTACCTAAAATATAGGTCAGGAGGTTTTGCTGCCTTTCCTGGCGCTTCACACACACACACGCAGGGAGACGGGGGGACGCCCACGCTGGGGGTGCGCGTGTGGATTAGAGACACATAGGCGCGTCTTGCTGGGTCTTTCTGTCTGGGTCTTTCCTCGGCTAATTTCGGTGACTTTATATTCCAGGAAATCGGATGAATTGACACCCCCCCCCCCGGCCGCACCCATCAGAGTTCCCAAGTGGACATAT